TCTACCCAGCTAAAGATTAGTTAGTAAAATTTGTTCATTCTGTAGCCTTTATTGTTCATAACATTGTTGAAAAGTATTGTTTATTGTGGAAATGTATCATTTGGTCTTTTGGAAAATCAGAGTTCAAACGTCAGTCTTTTTTACCTTTGAAAAAGAGATGGAACATTATATTGAATTAGTCCAGCCCTCTTTAAAACAAAAAGCCATAAAAACTGTTGAAGCTTGAAGTGCACTTCAAGACTTTTCTGAGGTTATGAACACTATATGGACAAAAGTATTGGGACACCTATACAGTACACCTACAGGAACATTTATGACATCCCATTCATTAATATGGAGTTGGTCCCCTTTGCAGCTATAACAGCTTCCACTCTTCTGGGAAGCTTTCTACAAGATTTGTGCCTGTTCATCCAGAAGAGTATTTGTGAGGTCAGACACTGATGTTGAACGAGAGGGCCTGGCTCACAATCTCCATTCTAGTTCATCCTAAAGGTGTTCAGCAGGGTTGAGGTCAGGTTTCTGTGAGGGCCAGTCAAGTTCTTCCACACCAAATTCACCCAGCCATGACTTTATGGAGCTGCTTTGTGCACTGGGACTCAGTCATGCTGGAACAGAAAAGGTTCTTCCGCAAACCATTCCCACAAAAATGGAAGTATACAATTGTCCAAAATGTCTTGGTGCTGAAGCATTAAGGTTTCCCTTCACTGGAACTAAGGGTTCTAGGCCAACTCCTGAAAAACAGCCCCATATCATCATCCCTCCTCCACCAAACTTTACAGCTGGCACAGTGCAGTCAGGCAGGTAATGTTCTCCTATAGACTTTATTATAGAGAAGCATGATTCCTCACTCCACAGAAGACGTTTCCGACTGTTCCAGAGTCCAGTGGTGGTGCTTTACACCCCTCCCTACTACTAATTTTATCTGCCTGTTTGCAATGGGTGTGGCTAAAACACCTGAACTCAATAATTAGGAGGATACTTTTATCTATATAGTGTATATCTCCCTAGCAAATGTATTTATTGTAACAGGTTTTGCAATTTTTAATATTATTATTGTTAGAACCTTATGTGAGGGTGTGAGGTAACCCGGATTTATTTGAAGTCTACAGACCAGGGCAAGAGAGAGAAACACTCGCACCAAGGATGCTTCTGAAAAGGGAATCTATTGGCTAAATATCAAACTACTTTCTGGACTACATTCAATGATAAACAATAGAAAATAAAACCAGAAAACAAAACAAAACAAAGTGATAGTAATGAAAGACAAAATAGCTCGAGTAAGTCAGAGTGATTCACGGCTAAATGGTATGAGGCAGTGTGGTTTGGGGAGTCGCTTGGGAGAGCCTCTAGAGAATTAACCTAAGCATGGATGGGAAGAACTATATGGCTGGATGTACCTATAAAAGTTCTCTTATTAAATAAATTGGCGTCAGGGCCCTGACTGCAAATTGATGGAACCAGCCTACGTTGGAGTCGGGGGCTGACTTCAGACGGGGTCGTCTCAGGACGGACTCGATCGAAGGCTGGAGCTCACGCGGTGGTTCCTCTCCTTGCTGGCCGTAGATGCTGCATCTCCATGCGGGCACGCGCCTTTCCGTCAGTGATTGGGCGGAGGCGTCTCGTGGCCGTCTGACGGTGGAGCTTGGGCAGCCTTTTGATGGTCGATCTGTTCCTAGATCAGTGCGTGGCTCTGGGTGGGATGCTGGGTCTCCGTGGCGTCAGAATCGCTCCCACTCCGCTGGCGAGGTTCAGGTTGCAATCAGGGTTCTGAAGCTGGTGATACTAATTTAACTAACTACCTCTCTTTAGCAGAATCGAAAGTTATGGATATATTCTCCCGGGCCAGACAAGAAATATCCACCTTCCTTCTCTGAGGGTGGTTTAAACTTAAGGTGTTTAGACAGGCAAGTTACAAAACAAACAAAGGTTTCAGATTTTAAAATTTAGCGTTCTAATACTTCTGACCTGTCTTTCTGACCAAGGCCGGCACAAACTTAAAAACTTAGCTATCCTTTTGTTGCGAACGCAGGAATCTGAACTGAACCACTGAAATTTGTGGTGCACTCTGGTTTTGCTCAGCTGGAGGCCCTACCCTTTGGAGGTCAAGCCAGAGTGCTGATAGGTTCTCCTCACCTAAGGTTAACTAGCTACTCATTGTTTCCAACTCTGATTGGTTGTGCATAGTTTTAGGAATGCCTTCCCCAGAATCACTGCCTCCTTTGTTTCAGCTAGTTTCAACAAAGAAAAAGAAACATTCCTATATCATCAAATTGGTTTAACTTTCAAAATCAAGGAATGAACCACTAGGATATTCAGGCATGTTTCTAAGAGAGAGTTTAACCCTTGCTACCTGATACACAACACATGTCAAAGAACACCGGTAATATTTGCCTATCATATCTGAATATGACCCAATGCATAAAAAAAATAATAAAATCGACAATAAAAGGAACAAAGGAAGAAAAGAAAACCACATTCAGGATACATATTGGTCAATGGTCTAAACTCATAGCAATTAAATGGTTGGGTCTTTCTGTTATCAAAGTTATACTCTACGTATTTCTAGCACTTAACGATAGAAAAAGATACAGGTAATATTTAGGTACTACACAACAACAAGATTAATACAACAAGTAGTATCGCTTACAGATTATATAAATGTTGATAATCAAGCAAAGAAAGAAGCTTCTTGGGTTCCTTATAAGCACAAGTCCTTACGGTGGTGATGTGGTAATTCGCGGTTTCACCCCTTGGGGGTGCTGTGGGTCCATGCTTGAGATCCCTAGGGAATTTAGAAAGTTGAAATTTTGCCATATGAGTTCCGTTCTTGGTATGTCTAGTTTAGTTAAAAAGGGTTCTAATGAATGGTTGCAGTTTGGAGTGGACATATACCTTAGAAATGTACTTTCTGTTACTTAAAGATAAAGTTGTCCACAGGACTTTGGAGGGCCATGTGGCCAATATTCCAGGGAGGTGTTGCCCCCTGGGTCGAGGGAGAGGGGTGCTGGTTCTTGGTTCAGTCGTAAATTTGGCTGGGTTTGGGGGTTGGGAGTGTTAAGTGACAAATTTACGTGATTTATTAATCAGTGCTTTGCTTTTTCAATATTATCAGTGATTGTTTAACTCTGAAAATAAAACAATGTATGACAAAAATCTCTGCAGAGTAAAGTAACATCTTAATTAGATTTCAGTCCTCCATCTTCTATATAATATACATTATACAATATATGTTGTATGCAATATAATCAGTCTTGCTTCTTTTTTGTATTATTAATGCTGATTTTATGCAATGAATTCAAATTAAAACTTATGAATTAAAACTTAAAAATTAAAAATGTATGCATTGCATACATTTCAAGTGAATCATTTATATTGCTATATTATTATATTATTATTATTATATAAGAGACTGACGCAGTGACAGTTTTGTGGATGTTCTTCGAATTAATCTCACAAATGTTCAGTAGTGCCTTTTGCTCAAATGAATTTTTATTCAAAGCTTCTTAATCATGAACCCAGAGAGACTTTCTTGGTCCCAATGATGTCACTCTCAAATCAGATCAGGGTGAGTGGGGCTTTATACTCCATAACACCCCAGTACACTCCATGTATGGCTGTCCCAACAAGAGTTACAAGCTGATTGGATAACAGAAGTCTTTGAAATAGCATTTGGAGAGAAAACCATGTTTTGACAGTTAAAATTGCTTACATAAGAAAAAACTTCTGCTGCAAGTTTAAGGTCTTTCCTGTTATTCTCAAAAAGCAGAAGTGATACAAGTCATGAATCTGACTGCAAACTATTCCACAACAAAATACTCATCCTTCAGAGAACTGACTGAAACATTAGCTCTTGACCTTTTCTGACCTAATGTACCAGCATACTGTTCCTATTCAAGACCTTAATTTTTGATCACAAAGTCGGACGGAACATAAAGGTCACAAATGGACAATATAACGTAGTATATAATGGAATATAATTTAACTCATCAATCACCACAATAGTGATATAGTAGTGATATTGTAGTGTGCATTTACATTTGCAGAACCGCAACAACTGTGTGTAATGAGATAAGCATGACACAAAGTTGTGCTTAGTATAAACATCTTGTGAGTGATAGTAATGCAGCATGTTTAGATAGACAGAATAGACAATAATAGAAAAATGTTGAAAGCTGTTTGTATATGAAAACAAGTAGTGATGCTGGGTTTAGGGATCTAGTGTTATGAAGCTTTAGTGAATAGTTAGTCTCACATGCCAGACTTTAACCCATTTAAAGAGAGTCCGGAGTATTTTATCATTTAACATGACCAAGAAGCACCAATGTTCACAGAAAGGCCCATTAGACTCATCAACAAACCACTGCTGTGTAAGTCTGACCTGTGGAAAACAAATTGTTGGCAGTCATGCAAAGATATCTCGCTTAAGAGCTTCAGGTAAATCCACTGAATGACTTCATGATGTGATGCCAAGAACGTCTGAATCTCACTCTGAAGAGGTTCATTGCTCTCACTATGTGAGGAGCAGACAACTGATTCCAGCTGGACTGATTACAACCAGTAAACAGAACTGCATGCACATCCAATCAGAACGGAACTGACAAAATCCTGATAGTTGTGGGAGCAAAAGTTCTGGTGGAAAATCATTTGATGACTAAAGGGTTGTGTAAAGCCTTTAGCTGCTCTGTGTGCTGCGCCTGGGTTGTGTTGAAGCTGCAGCTCTGAAATCTAGTTTTCCTTCAATTCTAGACTGACCAGAGAGTGTTTAGCTGGGAGAGGATCAACATTACTGTGGAGAGGTTGACGTTACACACTGAAGGGAAAGCTCTCGAGTGCAGGACCTGATGAAGGTGAGAAGCTGAGACAGTACTGGAGCTCATCAACAGTCCATCTGAACTCTGTGAGGAACATGTGGTGAACGGAAGAGGCGGGGCGGGCAGTTTGGGGGCAGAGACTTTAATAAACTATTGAAAATGAGGAAATTAAAAAAAAAGAGACAGAGAGTCTCAACAGCTCAAACTGTCAAAGAAAACGGGAAGAGAAACATTCGGAGCTTCAGACGCCTGCAGAGAAGATGGAGATGAAGATGAGCTGTGTGTGTTTGGTGCTGGGGCTGGTCCTGCTGATGACCCTGTCCTCAGATGCTGGCAGTGAGTTTAACACATTTTCTAGCTTTACTTGCAGATCCAGATGCAGATTAACACATTACGGTCAGGGGTGCAAAATACTTGAGTATGTGTAAAGAAAAGCTATAAAGCTTGTAGCAGTGTATTTTTATAATCAAGCCAATTTGAATGCTTGAGGCAGCCACACACGAACATGCTGCACAGGGACGGTAACCAGCTCACATAAGCTCCAAACTTACCCTTTCAAAGTTTTTAGCTAAACACTTGATCTGCTCTAGAAACAAAAAACTATAGTTTAACAAGAGGCTGACCCGTCACTGACCAGTGGTGGGGAAGTTACTCAGAAAAAATGTTCCACTACACAGTGCTGCTTCTCTCAAACTGTAATAGGATCACTTTACTTATGACTTTCATGGAAGAGGAATCTTACAATTCTCGTTACTTAATATCTATTTTACTTTCTAAACCCCAAACAAATCAATATTAATCTTAAATCTAATATCTTGCATCATTTAAAAGGCATCTCACCATCTCATATGATAAATCCAGAGCATGGAAAGTAAAACACTGTTATCTGGCCGCTGGGTGGGAAAGAAAGCTACTTAAGTGACTGTTTAAACAGGGAATGCTGTATTACCCCTCAGTAAAAGCTCACTTAAATAGCAAATAATGGGGTTACTTTTCCCAACTGACTTCTGCGTTACTTCATTTAATTAACTCTATGTGCACCATTTTCGATAAGACGTTAAAAAGAAATTGTTTTCTTGTTGATATATAAATACAGATTTGAACATTAGAATAACAGATGCCCATCTGTAGTGATAAAACTCTACTCTGCACTCTGTTTCCTGCAGCTCGCTTCGGGCTAATGCTGATTTAACATGATCAATCAGCCAAAACAGAGCGACAAGGAGCCGCTAGAGCTCCCTCGGCTCGCACCAAACCTTCGGCTGGCTCGACAGAAGCCTTGGCCTTAGCTTACCTAACACTCTGTGGCATCAGAAATCAGCACCCAAGTCTTCTCCTATTGGATGAATGATGGTTGGTAGGCGAACTGCCACCTACTGAGGGCTAGCTACACCCCTCACACACACATTTCAACAAAGTCATCAGTGAGTCAGTCAGTGAGCAAAACTGCCTCCTCTAGGCACCGCTAGGTGGTCAAACAAAAGTACTGACCAAGTACCTGTTTAGCTCAGATTAGCTATCTAGTTAGCTGGTCCCTCAGGCTGAAGCTGAGATGTGAAAAGTGGAGAAAGAGTAAAGTCTATTAATAACAATACTGTACTCACTGTACTTGCAGTAAAACGAGATATTAAAGCAGCATTAAAGGTACAGATATACAGATATATATTACTTTGAACTCAGCCTTTGAGTTAATTATAGTTTACCTGGACTATTTCCACCTCTAAATAAAATGCAGTACTAATAACCATGATTACCATATCTAATGATAATAAAATAATCATTAAATATTAGCACTGCTAGTAATTACAGCAAAATTACTTTAAAAGTAATAATAAAATCAAGAGTAAACAAAACTTTACAATTACTATTAATCACTATTAACTTATTTTAATCATTATTTAGCAATAATGATAGTAATAGTAATTAGTTGTTAAGTTGTTATTATTTTTTATTTTTAACATTAGTAGTATTACCATTATTAATTTATAAGATAAAACTATTATTCAAACTGAATACTTGTACTCCTTTCCCAATAACATTTACAAGAGAAAAAGCTATGCTAATTAATTTCTTGTGGAAGAAACACTTCTGCCTATTATTCACAACACTATTCTCATAATATTTGTGGTGAGACGAGGCAGATTTGCTAGTTTGGGTGACGGTGATCGTGATCGTGATCTGTACCCAGAATTAAGTTTGACTTAATGTGTTAAAACAATAAAAAGGATGTTTTATCTGTGAATTATTGATTTGTATTTAATTTAGTATAAACGTGTTTAAATATAGATATTTATTGCTTTGTGACTCTTACTGTGTAATCATAATTTTGGTTAAATAGTTTTTCTGCATTATTCTCAGCTCTGATTATAACACAGTAATAACAGTAACCCTGCTACTGCTAGTAATAGTAATTAGTACTACTACTAAAAATCACAATAAGAACAACTACTAGTGACGAAGGTAACCAATAATCATAACAACATATTTTAAATTATATTACTTATTATAACCATATTATTAAATTTAGTAAGAGTAGTGATAGTAAAGGTAGTCTAAGCATGCAGAAAATGCAGGTCCACGTGTTCCCAATTAGATGACAGAGCTGAATATCTTTCTTCTCCTCTTCCTCAGCTGGTGATATCGATGATCATCCTGATATCTGCTGTTTCAGCTTCATCACTTTTAAAATTCCAGACAAAGAAATACTAAAAGTTAAAAGATTACATCCCGACTGCCCAAAGCAGGGCTTCGTGTGAGTATCTGCCTTTAGAAGATGTAGATCATCACTGAAGGAATAAAACCTTGTATCTCCATTCATAGCTTTAATGTAAGTTGATGTAATGAGATTTTTTCCCCAAATGATTTTGGAGCATTTCTATTGGTCCATTCATCATGAGATTTAGACACAATGTAAATGTCAGCTGCTGTTTACAAATCATGTTAAAAATGAAGATACAAGGCTTTTTTTCTGTGAGACATGATATCTGGTTCATTGTCTCATTGTGTCACATAAAAACATTTGTTTCTATATTAAATCTCATTTGCTTTTTATTATCAGTAGATGAGACTCTCTAGACTGAAAACATAATGAGGTTAACTGTGCTGTCTTTCAGGATTACAACGCCGAGGGGCAGATTCTGCATGAAGGACCTGCAGTAAATCTAGATTTCAGAGCTGCAGCTTCAACACAGCCCAGACGCAGACGCAGCACACAGAGCAGCTAAAAGCTTTACACGCCCCTTTAATCATCACATGATTTATCAATCAGCGCTTTGCTTTTTCAATATTATCAGTGATTGTTTAACTCTGTGAAAATAAAACAATGCATGACAAAAATCTCTACAGAGAAAAATAACATCATAAAGACAAATTAGATTTCAGTGCTCCAGCTTCTAAACAATAAACATTATACAATACAAAATCTATACAATATATAATGCCTTGCTTCTTTTCATTATTATTAATGGTTATTTTATGCTGTGGATTCATATAAAGTAATGCATTTCAAGTGAATCATTTATTTTGTCATAGTGTTACATGGATATTATATAAGAGAGTGATGAGGTGATAGTGATATAGTAGTGATATTGTAGAGGCTGTGTGTGTGTTTACATTTACAGAACAGCAAAAACGGTGAGTAATGATGAGATAAGCATGATGCATAATGTTGTATTTAGTATGACTGTCTCATAATAAAGCACATGTGGGTCAGCAGAATAAACAATTCTGAAAATAAAAAGAACATGTTGAAAGCTGGCTGCATATAAAAGCAGTCATGTTGGGTTTTGGGCTCTAGTGTTATGAAGCAGGTGAAAGGTTAGTCTCACAAGCCAGACTTTAACTGGAGTCTGGAGTAATACCACCATCACTCCACCAGAGGGTGTTTACCTGAGAAAGAGTATCAACATTACTGTGGAGAGACTGATGTTATAACTGAAGGGAAAGTTCCTGAGTGCAGGACCTGATGAAGGTGAGAAGCTGAGACAGAACTGGAGCTCATCAATAGTCCATCTGATAGTGAGAGCTTCTCTATCCAGACAGAAATATGCTGCTGTGGACAGAGGAGCCCTCACTATCTAATGGACTGTTGATGAGCTCCAGTACTGACTCAGCTTCTCACCTTCATCATAGATCATGTCCATTCAATGGACGCTCATCTTCAAGCCAGGGCCTCCACTGCATCTTGGAATCTGAATATTGCAGGGGTCACTATAAGAGGACTGAGACCCCCAGAAATTTCTGCCAGACTGTTTCAGTTATTTGGAGCAGAGTCACATATAGCACAATGGCCAAATGAATGTGGAGCAGTATATTAAATATTTCTAATATAATTCAGCAAATCTGTCCAGTGTATGTTGCATGAGTTACTGTTCTGTAGGCCAGCTGGTAGTGTGTTAAGTCACACATGGCTAAGACTGTGCTATCCATGTCGGATTACAACATCTAGGGACAGATTCTGCAAGGAGAAAGTCTTGTCATCCTCTACACCAGGGGTGTCAACCTCAAACAGTAAAGGGGCCATATTAAAAAATCTTATCAAATCTGAGGACCAGAGAAAAAAGTTTTCTTTTATTTTTAATTAATATTGTGCTGTAATCTCAACTGGCTATTGTTCATTCAAAACATGCAAAAACATCAACAGTAAAATACAGACACTTGTAGTAGACCTTGAAATATTACATGAACAATTGAAATATTCAAAATTTAAACGTCCTCAGGAGCTCAGTCTCTTAAACTTACCTATTTGCTTGAAATAGACACTTGGCATCCTGTCTTTGCTTCAAGTTCACTAAGACTTGGGCTCAGTTTCTGAGCTGCTGAGCTGATGCTAAGTGTTCATGTTGGTTGAACTGCATCTGAAATGCGTTGTGGTGATATGACTGGTCTGGAACTGCACAGAATTGTGTAGAATTGAGGTGTAACCGCTGTCCCATAGACTGTTGTGGGGGTAGGAGAGTCGGAGCACATTACGCTGCAGTGCATGCTGGGGACTGTAGTGCAGCACATTGTGAAATGGGCTAATATTAATAGAAAATTAAAATACTTTTGCGAGCTGGATAGGATTGTGTTGCAGGCCTAATCTGGCCCGCGGGCCTTGTGTTTGACCCATGGGCTCTACACGACAGGAGAAACCCACCTTTACCCCCGTTTTATACTCAGAATGCAACTCCAGCTGTTTCATAATGAGAAGACAGATGATTTTATAAGATGCTTGGGGCACATTCATTTAACCCTGAACTGATTCTGTGTTACGTGTCACCAGATTCCCTCACTGTAGCAATCAGTTCTTCAGGCGTGTTGTGGTGTGTTGTTGTACTGAAGTGACTGAAACAGCCTTCATGAACATTCACTCCCATAACATGACTTTAACTGCTGCTGAGTACGTGTGTGACAGTGACATTGATTAGATTGTCTGGTTTTATACAGTTAATTGATTCTCCTACTTACAATTGTGGACATGTGCTCGATTTGGTTTGTATCAATAGGCTGTCTGAATAAACTAGTTAGTACAGATCTTCAAATGTCTGATCAAGTGAAGACCTATAAAGACATAAATATTCCATCATGTGCAGTAAAGTGCCCTATTATCATAATTTCAGGTCCCTATATCTAGACTATTATCACAGGCCTGAAATAAACGTTTCTCTATCCACTATTACTAATGACCTAGCTCCACTTAAGACTAGGATTGTTTCTTTTAGATGCTCTGCTCAGGACACCAACTGTAACGACAACACAGGAGAGCAGGATGGAATGCTAATAATCATCATACACAGCTCTGGCTATAAGTGTACATACCCCTGGCTGAATTAATAAGAAATATACCATTTGAAGAAGAACTCCAGCTCTGTACAGGTTAAGAATCTGCACCTCTGACTTGTTAGATTGTAATCAGTGTATATAAATAATCTGTGTTTTTTCTGTTTCGTGAACTTTGCTAGATTTTAAAATATAATGAATGCATATGAACTGTCACGCTATCTGTAAGAAGAAGCATATCAACACCATTAATTAGGAAAAGGTTATAAAAAGATGTGAAAATGCCAAAAAATGAAATCTGATAAGCTGAGGGGTTTAACCAGTGGTTCTGTGGATACCAAGCAAAGATCAGGTAGGTCAACAAAGACTTCTGAGGAAACCACAAGGAAAAATACAGACGTCTCAAGTACCGGCTTATCTGTCTCTTTGCACCCACATCACGAAACAGACTTAAAGTCATTCATAAGGCTCTGTCTGACATTTTTGTCCAAATTGACTACACACGAGTATACAGTCAATCATTTACTGCTGATTATTGTTACTGTGGTAAATTAAAAGGAAAGAAAGTATAATAGAGTCTGTATTTTAAAAAAGTAAAAGGTTCCTTCTTAAAAATGATATTAAATTTGGCGTTACAAGGGTCTGTCTGCATCAGCCAATCAGTGCAACTAATTAATGTTGGAAAACCAATCACAAGTCATGTTTTACCCACGTGCCCAAACTCAGAAATAAGCTCTTAGCAGCCTGGCTATGATGCATATTTAAAAGAGTTTAAAATTTTAATTTCAGTTATATTTAGTCAGAAATCATAGGAGCAAAAGAGAAGTTGAAAGTAATACAGCCAACTTAACAACTAGTTTAAAATTTTGCCTTTTTAAGGTAAAAGCAGTTATTTAGCTGGTGATCGCTAATGTTTGCTAAATTTAGTCTGCTTGTTAGAGAGCTAGCTAAATTATCATCTCTGCAAAACAGAGATTTAACTCACTGAAAGCTGAGTGCAAGGATTCATCGTAGGAAGTTAAAATGAATCCTTATCTAGGTGTTAGCTGGCCGTCTAGATGGATGAGCAGTTTAATTAGACAAATGACCTAATCTGCAAAGCAGCAAGCTTGGACCAATGGAGGAAGATAAACTGCAGTGAGTGAGAGAGTGAATATTTCTAATGTTGATAAACTACAATATATACAGATTATTAATTAACGTGTTGGAGCTTCTTGTTTTTCTTACTGCTTTTCTCCCTTAAATTATGTAGCACAATATATTTATCCAATCATCATTCCACTTTTCTTATATACATGTAGTTAACAACAAACCCCATTTCTGAAAAAGATGGGACATTTTGTAAAATGCAATAAAAACAAGAATCTGTAATTTGTTAATTCTATTGAACTTTTATTTAACTGACAAAAGTACAAAGAAATGACCTTTAATATTTTGGCTGACCAACTTTATTGTATTGTGTAAATATAAACATTTTGAATTTGATGCCGGCAACACACTCAAAAAAAGTTGGTATGAGGCAAAATAAGAGTTAAAAGTTCATAGATTATTTAAGTTACACCATTTTAAAACATTCCACGATAAGCAGGTGAATTGGTAACAAGTGAGGGTATCTGACTGGGTATAAAAGCAGCATCCACCGTAAGGCTCAGGCTTTGAAAGTAGAGCTGGGCTGTGACTCATGGCTTTGTGCCAAACTTCATGACAGAACAGTTCAAAGGGACCATTTCTGAATGAAAGATGGCAAAGAATTCAGATTATTGACCATCTACTGCACACAATATTGGGAAAAGATTCAGGTGCAAGACTGGAAACCACTGTTAAATGTAGTGGCCTTTGAGTGCTCAGATGGCATGAGATACAAATACAGCGCCATGGGATGGGGAGTACTTCAGAAAACCATCGTCTCTTAACACAGTCCACAGCTGCATCAAGACATGCCTCTTGAAACTCAATAACTCACTTATCAAGCAAGGATAAATCTATATATCAATTCTATGCAGAAACGCCGCTGAGTTTTCTGGGCCTGAGCTTATCTCAGATGATCTGAAAGACAGTGGAAACGTGGTCAGATGAGTGCACAGTTGTCCCTCCAGTTAAAAATAAAAGGGACCGTCCAGACTTTTTTCCGTGAAAGGAGCAAAAGCCAACAACTGTCATGGTGTGCGGTTGCATCAGTGCCCACAGACGTGTGAAGGTACCACTGACACAGAGGCATATATTAAGATTTTAAAGAGATACATGATGACATCAAGATCACATCTTTTCCAAAGAAGTCCACAGTTATTTCAGCAAGACAATACCAGGCCTCATTCTGCACAGACTACAACACCGTGGCTTCAAACAGTTTTTCCGCAGTATCTCAAAACTGCACTGAACACACAGAACCTTATAATTCAAAGCCGACGATTTGGAGTGATGAGACAAAAATTGAACTTCATGGTCACAATCATAAACGTAATGTCAACATGGCCCATGAGGTTAAACAGACCAACCCTACCATGAAGCATGAAAGTGGATCTTTACTGGTTTGGGCATGCGTGAGGTACAGCATAACAGGAAATGTGGTCAAACTTAATAGCAAGATGAACGCAACAGATTATCAGGAAATCAGGAAAATTTGCACGCATCAGCTCAGAAGCTGCACACAGGTTGCAATGGTTGTAAGCACA